GGCTTGAGCCACCGCGCCCGGCCTGCCCAGCTAATTTTTTGTATTTTTAGTAGAGACAGGGTTTCACCATGTTGACCGGGATGGTCTCGATCTCTTGACCTCGTGATCCACCCGCCTCGGCCTCCCAAAGTGCTGGGATTACAGGCGTGAGCCACCACGCCCGGCAAAATCTTTTTATTCTTAAGCTATCCATTCATTAATACATTACATAAATATATTTGAGCTACTATCCGCCAGACACAGTTCATGCTTTCCGCCTATCATACATGAATACAATTGAATGATCAATTTTAAGTTAATTCAAGGCTCTCCATAATATGGTTCCATTAATTATGGTGTCCTACAAGACAGTATAAATAAAAGTCACAGAAAAATAGCTAACTATTGGCCAAATGCAGTGTCTCACATCTGTAATCCAGCACTTTGGGAGGCCAAGGTGGACAGATTGCCTTAGGTCAGTAATTTGAGACCAGCCTGGCCAACATGGTGAAATTCCACCTCTATTAAAAATACAAAAATTAGGTCGGGCGTAGTGGCTCACGCCTGTAATCCAAGCACTTTGGAGGCCATGGCGGGCGGATCACCTGAGGTCGGGCGTTCAAGACCAGCCTGATCAACATGGTGAAACCCTGTCTTAAAAAAACGAAAAAAAAAAATACAAAAATTAGCCAGACATGGTGGTGGGTGCCTATAATCCCAGCTACTCAGGAGGCTGAGTCAGGAGAATAGCTTGAAGGTATCTCACTCTGGGGCCCAGGAGACAGATGCTGTAGTGAGCCAAGATCGCACCGCTACACTCCAGCCTAGGTGACGGAGCAAGACTCCATCACAAATTAATTAATTAATTAAATTAATAAACTGCAGTTTCTGGTCAGGTGCAGTGGCTGCAACCCCAGAATTTTGGCAGGCCAAGGCAGGTAGATCTCTTGAGCTCAGGAATTCGAGACCAGCCTGACCAACATGGTAAAACCCTGTCTCTACAAAAAATACAAAAATTAGCTGGGCATGGTGGCAAATGCCTGTAATCCCAGCTACATTGGGGGCTGAGTCAGGAGGATCGGTTGAACCTTTGTGGTTATGGCTGCAGTGAGCCAAGACTGCACCACTGCACTCTAGTCCAGGGGACAAAGTGAGACCCTGCCTGAAAAGGCAAAACAAAACAAAACTGCAGTTTCTAACTGCCTTTGCAAGTTGATTCGGTCAATAAAGGCACTAATTAACGGTGGGAGTCATTATTTGCCTCTGGCCTTATTACATGATAATCAGATTAACATCCATTACTTTAAATGGTCTTGCAGTCCAACTTGCTATCAATTTTTGGAAAGGAAATGTATATACACAAAGACTTAGAAAAAACGTGTCTGCTGGGTGCGGTCACTCACACCTGTAATCCCATCACTTCAGGCAGCTAAAGCAGGTGCATCATGAGGTCAAGAGATCAAGACCATCCTGACCAACATGGTGAAACCCCATCTCTACTAAAAATACAAAAATTAGCTGAGCGTGGTAGCGCCCGCCTGTAGTCCCAGCTACTCAGGAGGCTGAGGCCAGAGAATCACTTGAACCCAGGAGGCAAAGGTTGCAGTGAGCCAAGATCACACCACTGTACTCCAGCCTGGGCGACAGGGCAAGACTCCATTTCAAAAACAAAAAAACAAAAGCAAACTGAAGATCTAATTATACTGTAACATGTAATTTAAGCAAACTTCATTAAATACTTGAGAGGTTTTGGCCAGGCGTGGTAGCTCATGCCTGTAATCCTAGAACTTTGGGAGGCCGAGGCAAGTGGATCACCTGAGGTCAGGAGTTCGAGACCAGCCTGACCAGCCTGACCAATATGAGGAAACGCTGTCTCTACTAAAAATACAAAAATTAGGCCAGGCACAGTGGCTGACGCCTGTAATCCCAACATTTTGGAAGGCCGAGGCGGGCGGATCACGAGGTCAAGAGACTGAGACCATCCTGACCAACATGGTGAATGCCCATCTCAAGCCCAGGCATGGTGGCTCACACCTGTAATCCAAGCACTTTGGAGACCAAGGCAGGCGGATCACCTGAGGTCAGGAGTTCAAGACCAGCCTGACCAACATGGTGAAACCCCGTCTTTATTAAAAAAAAAAAAGAAAGAAACCCCGTCTCTACTAAAAATACAAAAATTAGCTGAGCGTGGTGGTACACGCCTGTAGTCCCAGCTACTCGGGAGGCTGAGGCAGGAGAATTGCTTGAACCTGGGAGGTAGAGGTTGCAGTGAGCCGAGGCCTGCCACTGCATTCCATCCTGGCTTCCGGTGATGCAGCAAGACTCTTGTCTCAAAAAAAAAATTAGCCAGGCCTGGTGGCATGCGCCTATAATCCCAGCTACTCAGGAGGCCGAGACAGGAGAATTGCTAGAATCAGGGAGGCAGAGGTTGCAGTGAGCTGAGATCGTGCCATTACACTCCAAGCTTAGGCAACAAGAGCGAAACTCCATCTCAAGAAAAAAAAAAAGTTTTCAACAGAATATATAAGCATCAACTACTGCTTTGGAATAGTTAACCAAAACTAGACCCCAGCATTGAAACATTTTCTCACCTCTTGAAAAATATCCTCTCCTTCAACTTGATACCACATCCCTACTCTTTGTATTAGTGGGATGAACAATAAAACAACCCAGATCATGCTCAGTAGCTCATGCCTCTAATCCCGGCATTTTGGAAGGCTGAGTCAGGAGGATCACTTGAGGCCAGGAGTTTCAGACCAGCCTAGGCAACATAGAGACCTGTCTCAACAACAACAACAAAAAGGTATGGTTGCTCATGCCTATAATCTTAGGCCTGTAATTCCAGCACTTTGGAAGGCTAAGGAGGGAAGAGTGCTTTAGGCGGGAAGTTAAAGAACATCCTGGGCAACACAGGGAGACCTTATCGCTAGAAAAACATTATTTAAAAAAAAAAATGCCCGGCATGGTGGCTCACACCTGTAATCCCAGCACTTTGGGAGGCCAACGCAGGCAGATCATGAGGTCAAGAGATTGAGACCATCGCAGGGCGCGGTGGCTCACGCCTATAATCCCAGCACTTTGGGAGGCTGAGGTGGGTGGATCACGAGGTCAAGAGATCGAGACCATCCTGGTCAACATGGTGAAACCCCGTCTCTACTAAAAATACAAAACATGAGCTGGGCATGGTGGCCCGTGCCTGTAATCCCAGCTACTCAGGAGGCTGAGGCAGGAGAATTGCCTGAGCCTGGGAGGCAGAACTGCAGTGAGCCGAGATTGTGCCACTGAACTCCAGCCTGGCACCTGGCAACAGAGTGAGACCCTGTCTCAAAAAAAAAAAAAAAAAAATTAGCCAGGTATTGGAAGGCTGGGAATGCAGTAAGCTGTGATCACGCCACTGCACTCCAGCCTGGGTGACAGAATGAGACCTTGTCTCCTAAGATAAATGACAAACAAAAAGAGACTTTAATTGCAGTCCTATGGTTTCATTCCCCACCTCTCAGTTGGTCACATTCTTCCAGCTGCCATCACCCTGAATTGCAGTCACCAGTTAAATATGCGAATTCCCCAACTGGCTATGGACAACCTATGTACAGGTAATCCTTTCTTATTCTCTTTTATATCCTCAAGACAGAACTTAGAATATGTGCATCAAATGTCTGTTGGACTGTATCAAATCAACATAGTGATAATATTTCTAATACAGTATACCACAGTGGTCAAACCTCTTCATTTCAATATTATGACATTATGTCAAACATTTCAATATTATGACACACCCATCTATAAACGTAGAAGCACATTTAAGGATTTGTCATTTAAAGTTGATGTAAAACTGCAATTTATAGATTATAAGAAAAATCCATAGCCATATAACATTTTAAGTTGTTCTCATCCTCAGTGTAAATGTTACTAAATATCCTAGAATAAAATGTATTACACAATCTGTTACCATAATTTTGAGAAAGAATGATTAATTCAACTTAACACCCTTTCAGTTGCTTTCCTCCATTTATTCTTTCTTCTGCCCACATAGTTGCCTACTCAGACATTTTTAAAAGTCTTTTAGAGCCATCTCTGTAAAGAAAACAGCAGTCTTCTCTAAAAACAATGTAAATTAGCAATTTTAGTCACTATCTGTTTTCTCCAACTTAGCAGAAATCTTAGACTCCAATGGGCAACTAAGCTCTTTAGCATCATTCTGCTAGTTTTATTTCTGTAAACCAGAGATTTGTAGGTAAATTTGTAAGTAGGCAATCTGTTGGCAGAAAGACTTTGTCTATTATAAATTGATATAATCTTAGCAAATCATAAAGTAGGACGATTTAAGGAATCCTAGAAGAGGTATAAAATTATAAGACATTCTCACGCCAAATGACAAACTATAATGTGCATGTAGACTCCTGTCAGGGATTCAAAGAGTTGTGTCCAACAACTTTCCAAGTGCTGTACAGAGATCTAGAAATCAAACAGGAGATCGTCCCTTCTATTTGGTTTTTCAACAGCTGAAACACTCAACAGGTGTTGTAGGTACAATTCTGAGAGGGATGAGCAGGCCCTAAAGGGGGTGTCCCAAAAGCATGCATTCATCATCAGAAAATCAGACTGGGTACGACTGCCAACCCACTTCAGGGCCTGCGGAGCCCAGATGAATCAGACCATAAATCCTGCTTTCTAGGAGACTGGGGTGAGATGGCACGGAAGGCGAAGGCACACAAACACTATGATCCTTATATTCGAGTTTTAAGGCAGTTTCTCACCCATGTTTCACCCAGGACGCTGCATACAGCAGGTACTTAATTACTGTTTTGGTGACCGACTGAATAAATAAATGTTAAAGCCTAAGACAATCCCGGGGCTACAGGTGCACAATCGCCGTGGTCCCCTGGCCCAGCCGCCCACCACCATCCGGGCCAGAACCCAGTAGGGAGGTCACCCTCTCCATGTCGCCTCAAGCAGCAGCGGCACGCAAAGGTCAGTTTCAGCCCCGGCCAGGCTGAGCCCTCCCCTCGGACAGCACTTACCGTTAGCGTAGGGAGACCCCGAGGCCGAGGCGGCTCCGTTCTGGGCCTGGAGGCTGGCTGGGGCGCTGCCGGAGGCCGGTATTCCCGGCTGGGACATGACGACGGCGGTTATCTGGGTTGGAAGGGGCTGGTCCGGGTCGACAACAGGGCCAAGAACAGAGCTGAAAGACAACTGCTGAAAGCGGAGGGAGGAGGCTAACAACTTAAGACTGAAGACTGGGAAAAGAGAGGGCGGCGCATCAAGCCCGAGGCATGGCGCCGCACTCTCCCCAGGCCACCGGCGGCCACGGCCTAGCCTGGGAACTGAGGCTAGAAAGTCGGGCCGGCGGGGCCGCGAATGCAGGGCTACAGGGAGGCAGCCAAACCTAGAAGGAAGGAGGCCTCGGCCGGAAGTGTCTGTCAGCCCCCGGCCGCGCAGCCGCAATCAGGACACGTGGCACTTCCGGCTCCGGCCTCGCTGCCGCAGCGGCTGCCGGCGAGCTCTTTTCTTCCAGCGGGGTTGCCCCGAGGGCACCTGACAGCTCCTGGTGTCCCGACCCCGACGACCGTGCCTAGCCTCGCTGCCACGTCACTGACTCTCACGGCCGGCCGGAAGTGCCGTGTGTCACCGCTGTGGAAATTCCCGGCTTTGTGAACGTGACCTCACTCGCAGAACCGGGATCGTGGGGCAATCTGGGATTCAGTAGCCGCTTTCGTGGGGTGGGACTGACAGTTCCGCTCCCTGGGTTTTGTGATGATTACTTGAGACCTCAGAAGTCATCGTCCTGCCGGGCGCGGTGGCTCAAGCCTGTAATCCCAGCACTTTGGGAGGCCGAGGCGGGTGGATCACGAGGTCAAGAGATCGAGACCATCCTGGTCAACATGGTGAAACCCCGTCTC